GTCAAGTGTTTTGTCCGTGTTTTAGTTGGGCTGTTGAGTTTAGTGAGTTATTTATATAGAGGTTCCCCAGCTATCCGAAAGTAGAGCGCTCCCGCGAAGCCTTTTGGAAGCTGAGAGCGTGTAAAGCAAAGAGTATCCTGCTCTCTGAAAGTTCGAGTTATGCCACTTTGGTTTTAAGAAAGATCTACATTCCTACTGTAATGGCTTTTTCATGAAAGCAAAAATCCTCTTCAGATTTCTTTCAGTTGGTGAAAACAGATAACGAATGTCGGTCTTTTGTAAAAGCAGGGTGGAGTAATGTGAACTTTTTTAAAGCAGAGAAAATCTGTTCTCAGTATTTTCTCCGAATCTGTAGCTTTTTAAATTCCCTTTGTAGTGTCTTATATAGAACAAAAGTTTTTAATTGTGATAGGTTTCAGTTTATCATTTTTTCCTTTATGGATCGTGCTTCGGTTGGCTTGTTTGCCTAACTCAAGATCATTAAGATCTTCTGTGTTTTCTTGTGAAAGTTATGCTTTTACCTTTTACATTTAGATCTCTGCTCCATTCTCAGTTCATTCTTGTATCCAGTTTAGGTGAAGGTCGCTTGTTCGTTTCTAATAGTCTCCTCATCGAATTTCCTTTTTTTCTCCTCTATTGCTGCTGTAACAACTTACCACAAACGTGATTGGTTAAAACAACACAAATTTATTACTTGATATATCTGAAAGTCAGAAGTCCAAAATTCATTTTCTCCAGATCAAAATGAAGGCATTCGGCAGGACCGCGCCCCCTCCAGAGAGGCTCTTGGGAGGGTCTGTTTCCTGGCCTTTCCCGGCTTCACCCGCACTCCTCGGCTCGTGGCCTGTTCGTCCGTCTTAAAGCCAGCAGCATCCTCAGGCTACCTTTGCCCTCTTCATTCTGCCACGAAGCCCATCTGTCCAGGTTTTTTAAAATTTCAGTTATAGCATTTTTCAGTTCCCAGTTTGTAATTTGGACTTTATTTATGTCCTTTATTTGCTGATACATTCTATTTTTGTTGTTTCAAGCCTGTCCATAAGTGATCCTTGAAGCGTTTTTATGATGGCTCCTCCGAAATCCTTATGAGACACTTCTGACATTGGTGTCTGTTTATCATTTTCTCATTCAAGTTGATATCTGAGTAGTTCTTGCTGCGATGAGTGATTTTTGATTGAGACCTGGACATTTCGGGTATTATGAGATTCTGGATCCTATTTAAATCTGTGACACTGCTCCAGTGGGGGCAGGGTGCCACCTCATTCTCGCAGCCTCCGCTGACCCCTAGGGGAAGGGAATGGTCAGGACCGCTAGGCGGGATAGGGTGGGAAGACATTCCAGAGTGGGGAAGGTACCTGCAATCACTTATCCAACAAAGGGCCACATCCAGAACATGCATCAAGAACTCTTAAAACTGAACAGCAAAGAACAGTCCAGTCATAAAATGTGCAAAAGGCATGAACAAATGTTTCCCCGGAGAGGAAGAAGCACGTGAAAAGATGTTCACCGTCATTGCCGCTAGGGAAACACAGATTAAAAGGACAATGAAATATAACCGCACACCTATTGAAACGGTTTTAAAGCTTAAAAATAGTGATGATACCAAATGCAGGTGAGGATGCAGAGGGACTGGATCAGTCACACTTAACCGATGGGAACGTGAAACGGTACAGCCACTCTGAAAGACTGTGGCAGTTTCTTAAAAAGTTCAGTGGAGACTTGCCATATGACTCAGCAGTTGCTCTCTTGGGCGTTTATCCCTAAAGAAATGAAAACTTATGGCCACCTGTATGCAAATGTTCATAACACCTTTCTTTGTAATAGCCCCAAACTGGAAACAACCAAAATGCCCTTCAGGGGCGAATGGTTGAAAAGTCTCCCGCGTCCATGGGCTAGTCCATGGGCTAGTCCGTAGCGATAGAAGGAGACGAGGAGCTGTTGATGCATGCGTGACCCTCGAGGGACCGTGAGGACGTTATTCTGAGGGAAAAGCCAGTCTCAGAATGTTACATAGTATGACCTCATGCCCATAGCATTCCGAAAATGACTAAATTATAGAGCTGAAGGACAGACTAGTGGTTGCTAGAGGACAGGGACAGGGACTGGGCCGAGGCAAGGCGGGGGGGGGGAGCGAGCGTAGGGGAGGCAGCACAAGGCGGTTCTGTAGTGACATGGTGCTTCTGTGTGTCGGTCGTGGTGACAGTTACATGGATCCGAACGTGGGATAACATTGCCTGGAACGTATAGACGAGACTAACCCCACCCCCTACACACACACTCATTCACTCTCTCTCTCTGTCTCTCTCTCTGTCTCTCTCTGTCTCTCTGTCTCTCTCTGTGTCTCTCTGTCTCTCTCTGTCTCTCTCTGTCTCTCTCTCTGTCTCTGTCTCTGTCTCTCTCTCTCTGTCTCTCAATCTGAATGAGTGCAGTAGTCCAGTAAGCAGTCATGTGCCAACGTACATTTTTGGTTTGGATTGCACTGCAGCTGTACAAGATGTCATTGTTAGGAGGCACTGGGCGAGGGGTTCTCAGTCTCTTTATACTATTTTTGCAACTTTCTGTGAGTCTATAATTACTTCAGAATTTTAAAAAAATTCAAAACTTCCCATTTATGTGAGATGGTTTACACCTACTTCTGCTGAAGGCAGAATATTAGGGAGAAACAATATTTGCTAAGTCCCAGCCCCAAAATATCACAAGGCCGATGAAACCCACGCGGAGCACTAATAAAAACGTCGATGTGTAATATAACCGTTTGTATTTCGTGTTTTTTATTCTTTTCCTTTTTAAAATTACTTTTATGGGACAACTGATGGGAATCGACAGTTATTAGAGGTACCTGTTACATCCTTAGCGCTGCGCCGACTGCCCTTTTTCTGCCAATGTAAACACAGGAGAGATGACAGTCACACTCTTGACAAAGTCACAGGGATGTTCCCGAATGTGACCAAAGCCGAACACATTTTCAAAGAGTTACAGTCGCACAGCTTTCTCGGCGATACATCGCCTTCGGTCAGCCGCCGCTCACTCTGCCTGCAGCGAACGCGTCACGGGCTGCGGTAGCTGTCGCTTCCTCCCACCGAAGAAAGCGACAGCACGTGCCTTATCATATGGAAAACCTGCAATCTGCTGAAATTTAGTTCAATTACTGGTCTATACTTTACCACCGTAGCCGCTTTAAACGGCACATTGGGGAGCACCCATTTTGGGGTGCGGACGTAGTAGAACGTGTGCCTCACATGCTGCGGATATGGCCATGGTGCACTAGAAGGAAGCCTGCCTTTCAAGTCACACCTGGATTTCGATCCCATCTCTGCCGCTGACCAGACCCGAGCCCCCTGGGTTATGAGGGTGCCACCCGTTTCCTAGAGGTACGTCATTCGCCTCAGTCGGCCGTTTGTGAAAGGTGCCCGGCACCACGTCCGACTCAGAGCTGCAGTTCACAGAGCGTTTGCTTTCCCGCGGTCTCAGCGACTTTGGGAACGCGCTACATCCATGCACGTGCACCTACAAAGCGAATGCCGAATATATAAAAAAAAAACTTCTAAACGCCGAGGTCTAAACTACAAAAAGGAGCAGTTGCAAAACGCGAAGTGCCGAATGGGCTGTGGCCTTCGGGGAAGGCGTCGCGCTGGGCGTGGGATTCAGACTGGGTGTGAGGACCGCGACGTCCTCGAGGCGAATCGGGCGGGCGCCATCCTGAGCCGAGCGACAGCCCGAGGCGGTCTCCTTACACGCGCAGCGCGGGGACCATGCGACTTGAAGCCTGCTTTTCTATTAGAGTGTATTGTAGAAGTTACACATCTTAAAAGTTTTAAGCAATTTATCCCATAGTGTCACGTTCTTCAAAGCATCCCCGCATCTGCTGTGTGTTTTAATGATACTGCCTGCCGGCTAGGACACACATACCTTACTTTGAAATCTTGCTTTTATATAGCTCCTGTCAGCTGTGGTCACCTCAGGCTTGCTGCAATAAATTCTTTATGTCGAACAAAGGTGAAGGACATAATCATGGAACATTAACAAGAGCTGGGATCACTGTTTTTGTTAAGCCTTATGCGGTTGTTTTCACGTGTTATTAATGTATATGAATTTAATTTCTTCAAAGAAAACTTTGGCAGTCTAACCAACTTCCTGTTCCTAAATGACGGTTGGTGTTTTTGATACTATAATTTTGCAGAGAAATGCGAGCGATTGGATATTTGTCTTGCATATATAAAAGCATCATATGCGTAATTTTCATATTTTCAGGGGTATTCACATGGAGAAATAGGTTGGTTTTTGCACTTGATACTAGCCAAAAGGCCTAGAAGTGATTAGGTTGGTTTTTGAAAGTTAGTTTGATATTCAGTGAGTTTTATTTTGTATGGTATTAGAAAAAGTAATCTTTTTGTGGGGCAAATAGAGCTATCGGTGTTTTCCCAATGGTGAATCAGCCACAGATACTTTTAATTTATTTGCTTTTGAGGTCCTTTTTGTTATATGATTTCAGTTTTGTCATTATTTTGGTGAATGAATACTTTTCCGTACATTTATTGAATCCCTGTTACATAGACAGCATTGTACTCAACATGGGTAGGACAGAAAGAGGAATATGATACAGACTATCAAGGATCTAGTAGGAAAGAAAAATATAGAAACAGAGAACTGTGATATAAGGCAGTTTGCCGTAAGTGCCACGAGCTCCGTAGGATGGCAGGTAATGGAGAGAGCTTTTTTTGAGCGGATGATCGGGGATGATTTCAAGAAGGCAGGAGCATTTGACAAATGCACGTAGCTCGTAAATGAATATTAACATGGCAGCCAGAGTGAGATAGGAATCCCGAAATGACAGCTCTCCCAGTGCTAAAGATTTTATCTTTATAAACTGGGAAAGTCATTCTGATACTAGTAAATGGTTAATAGCTAAACATTCCCATAAATACTAATTTAAGGTAAATATTTGTACTGTAATAAAGAAATCTTTTTCGTATGATGGGTAATTGCCGGTTTTATGTTTTCAGGCCATGAATATTGTGGTTCCCTTCATGTTTAAATATGCTGTAGACAGCCTCAACCAGATGTCGGGAAACATGCTGAACCTGAGTGATGCACCAAATACAGTTGCAACCATGGCAACGGCAGTTCTGATTGGCTGTACGTGTGATTCCTTAATCTGCCTACAGGTGTTGACTTTCTTCAGGGTTTCATCATATTTGAACAGATGACCTTTGCACTACAAACACAACTTAGCATTTTGGATACTTACCGTTTTATGAGAGTTTTTTTTTGATACGTGGTTTTAAAATATTCTTCGTATGGTAAACTTTCCAAAAATCCTGTTAATAACAGTCTCATTTCCAAGTTCTGGAAAACAAATAAGACATTTGATTTATAAGAACCACTTCTAATAGCTAGGCTCCTTCTAAGATAGCTTTTCAGTACGGGTAGTTATTTTCTTGCTGTTGTTGTTAGCTGTTAAATAGGAAATAGCTCAAAAATGATATTTGTGCATTAATGCTCTATTAAATTATATTCAATAGCTGTGACACCAATCTGCAGTGTGTAAATTAGAGAATGTGATGCTTTGTGTCCTCGTGCATTAGAAAGGACACTTTATGCGACACAGGAGGCTTGAACAGGGGTATACTTTAGTCAATGCACTCAATTTCCAGGATCTCAGTTTTATCTTTTGTTATTGGGGAGAATTGAGTTAGATCAAAAAACTTTGACACTGTACGTTTATCCCCAATAAGGCCATCTGGGCCGTTATTGATTAAAAATATCTAGTTGGAAAGAATCAGTGATGTAGTCAGTCGTTCATCGTGCACTTTCTGACCCTGTACCATTTTCACACTTGTATGATTGTAACGTTTTCACGCCCCATTTTTTCTTTTGCATGTATCGTCAGATGGTGTATCAAGAGCCGGAGCTGCCTTCTTTAATGAAGTTCGAAATGCAGTATTTGGCAAGGTAGCCCAAAATTCAATTAGAAGGATAGCCAAAAATGTGTTTCTCCATCTTCACAACCTGGATCTGGCTTTCCACCTGAGCAGACAGACAGGAGCTCTGTCAAAGGCCATTGACAGAGGGACGAGGGGTATCAGTTTTGTCCTGAGTGCTTTAGTGTTTAACCTTCTTCCCATTATGTTTGAGGTGGCTCTTGTCAGCGGCGTTTTGGTAAGTAAAATGTTTTTCATAACACGCTTTTACCTTCCATTATCATTAGAAGCTACTGTGGTATTTCATGCTCGTGAATTTGATGCAAAATTCCGTGGTGCCAGAAGGATTATGCAGTTTGTCTGATTATTTTGCCATAATCTTTATCACGTTGTTATTATAAAGAGCCGTTCGGTTCTACACATAGATCAGTCATTTCCCTAGCCCTTCCAATTTGTTTGTCAGCAGAGATGTTCTGTATAGAACTTTGGGCTGTTATGCTCCCGTTTTTCTAGTATTCTCTTCACCACTCGTAACATTTGAGGCAGTTTCATATTTCATAATTAAAAGCGTATCCATCTACCTGTCTGCATCTGTATATTTATATGTCTGTATATATTATTTGCCTTGTGGCTCTTTGTACTGTCGTTATCAGCATTTGGCAGTAGCATCAATGTGGCAAGTTCAGTTTGGCTTTCTTCCCTTGATATCTAAAGTAGGTTTTGTAAGGTATTTGATTTCTCGCCCAATTGATTATTCACTTATTCACCAACATATTTCTATGAAAATCTTTCGACTGAGATTCGCTGTTGTATATTATCAGTTATTTGACAGGAACAATGACTGTTCCTCGTTTCTTCTTTCGCTCTCTCCAGTATTACAGATGTGGTGCCCAGTTTGCTCTGGTGACTCTTGGGACACTTGGAGCATACACAGCATTCACGGTTGCCGTCACACGGTGGAGGTAAGCTACTCCCCAGAGGCCAGTCAGAGTTCAAAATTAGTTCCGCTTTTACAGCAAACGTTTCATCCTGTGCAAATCTTTGTGTTGCAGAACTAGGTTTAGAATAGAAATGAACAAGGCGGATAACGATGCAGGTAACGCTGCCATCGACTCGCTGCTGAATTATGAAACCGTGAAGGTAATATGTTTACACTTTCCTCTGCGTTCCGCACTGCCGCGTAATAGGTGATGGAAGTTAGAGCCTAAGATTCAGATGGTGTCTGTAGGTGCGATGGACTTACAGTTTTCCTTTCGTGTAGAAATTGCCCTCTATTTCCACCACAGTTTTTTTTTGTGGTATCCTCAGAATTCTACCTTCTCAATTAATTTATAAGTAATAAGAGTACAGTGAGCATTTCGATGCAGAGCGAACACAAAGCTAATCAAGTTGGCATATAAGTTCTTGGCTCTGCCCCTGCGAGTGCCTAGCGTAGTGCTTTGTCCCATATTTATTCGTTCAGTTTTCCATTTACCAAACGTTGCCGGTGCCTCTTGTGGGCCGAGCGGCGTGCCGAGTCCTGCGGTGGGGGAGGTCGGGGGGGTCGGTTAACATACGCTTCCTGCCTGACCCTCGGCCGCCCACAGTTCGCTAATCTGCTGGGAGAGTGGAGGTGAGCGTGTGGGCGGCGGTACGAGAAGGTGCGCTGTGGTGGGGACCGTGAGCGCTGTCCACCCGGAGTCCCGGGGGGTCGGGCGGTTTCGTGAAGGAAGCGCCATCGATGGCGTTTTGAAGATGTGGGTTTAATTAACTCACCGTTCCGTAATGTTCGTGGGATGAATTTTATGGACAGTTCATGGTGGGACACTGCAGAGCGGCAGTCATCGCGACACAGCGATTTCTAATTATACTTGTATATAGTTGCTCTTTTGTGTGTTTTCGTAGTATTTTAATAATGAAAACTATGAAGCACAGAGATACGACGGATTTCTGCAGACGTACGAGAGTGCGTCGCTGAAAAGCACCTCCACCCTGGCGATGCTGAACTTCGGTCAGAGTGCCATTTTCAGCGTGGGTTTAACGGCTATCATGGTGCTCGCCAGCCAGGGAATCGTGGCCGGTAAGGGGTCCCCGCTTTCCCCATTCGTAGATGTTTCCCTTGACCTCGATAAGCAAAGGTTCATGAAAGGGATGTGCACGTTAGCCTTCTTCATAAAGCGTCTCGGGTACTGTGCTCTAGGATCCTTGGAGTACTTTGCCGTTTGCATCAGGATGCGTTTTCTTGATTGTACGATCATGTTTTTTACTTCCTTCTGTTTAACACAAGTGTGGCACTGGCTCGGCGTTGCTCGGGATTGCTGGTCATGCGTTTCCTGGGGCTGCAGCCCGATTCTTTCGGGAGTAACTTTTTTTTAGCATCTAGTAGTTCTGATTTCTCTTGTACACCTAAAAAGCAGTGTAATGGATTTAGTGTTTACTCCAGAGGACTAAGACTCGAGCATTCTTTTTTTTTTAGAATTACGAGTCATCTTTCCATGTTTCTATTAGTTTTTCATTTGCAAAACATCTAAAAAATAAATAATGTCTGTGCCCCTTTTTCGTTCCCTGCCCCACTCCGTTAGGAGTCATTTATTCACTGTGACCGTAATAAATACACGGTTTATCATTTTTCAATCGTGAATACCCGTTCGCTCCAATTATTTAATATATACTTTTAGATTTCTATTTCACATTACAAAGAAACTAGTTAATGCCTTACGAAGAAAGCAAAGCTTTTCAGCCTTCTATTCCTAGCCTCCCTTAAAGCATTCTCTTTTTTGTATATTGCGAGTACTGTATGGGCGGACTTTTCCCGTTCTACTTAGCGCGGATCAAGTGTCCTGATTCCTAACTCACGGGTTAAGATGCTTTGAAGTTTAAGTAGGCCTAAGACTTGCTGATTTTGTACATTTGAACTGTATTCCAGAGCAATAGACTATAAAACTTCCCTATCTTAAACCGGAAAAGTTCATAACATCTAAATATCCTTTGCTTCTTCTGCCAACTGCATGTTAAGGAACCCTCACTGTCGGAGACCTAGTCATGGTGAATGGACTGCTTTTTCAGCTTTCATTACCCCTGAACTTCCTGGGAACTGTATATAGAGAAACTAGACAAGCACTCATAGATATGAACACCTTGTTTACCCTACTCAAGGTAGACAGCCGAATAAAAGTAAGTAATGTATTTAGTTCCTTTTTAAAAGCACGTGAGCTTCATCCCATGAATAGGATTATTCTAAGGGAATGTTCTTACGTCGCCATGTTAGCGAGGCAATTCTTTTTTTGCAGGAATTGGAACCGTAATGCGTATTAAGAGTTCTTTATAGCTGTCACTTCTTTGTTTAGAGACCTTATGCCGTTAGAAAGAATGCTATACCTAGAAGCTAAATTTTGTTACCTTGAATTCTTTGTACTTGCACTTGATTTACTTTTGCTGATAATGATATGAAATGTGTGATGTTTTCCTCCTCACATCCTCGACCTCCTTACTCCCCTGTCGACCATCCCTCTCCCTACCCACCCCCTCCCCAACAATGCTCAGAAATCAAAGCATCCAGGAATTTTGACCTTAACAGTGAGGAGTGAAAAACGAATCTTGAAAAGCATGCTTGGAAGCGGCCTAACGCCACTTACAAACCTCCTCCTTCCTCATATTTTCTTTTTTCTCTCTGTGGCTTAGAAAATTGTCTGCATAGCTGCGCTCTAGGCGACGTGTAGACTGACTGTTTTTTCCTCTTCTGTGCTAGGACAAAGCGATGGCACTTCCCCTTCAGATCACACCACAGACGGCTACGGTGGCCTTTGATAATGTATATTTTGAGTACATCGAGGGGCAGAAAGTTCTCAGCGGAGTATCTTTCGAAGTCCCTGCAGGAAAGAAAGTGGCCATTGTAGGAGGTAGTGGGTCAGGGTGGGTAATTTAGTCATTTATAACATTTCTGCATCATCGATTAACCATTTCCCATGCAATGTTTTTTCTCTATCATAGTAAAGTTAACATGGGTCCCCTGACACCAGTAGGTGCTAAGTAACCTTTCTTTGTTTCCCATTTCAGGAAAAGCACGATCGTGAGGCTGTTGTTTCGCTTCTATGAGCCTCAGAAGGGCGACATTTACCTTGCTGGACAAAATATCCGAGACGTGAGTCTTGAGAGCCTTCGGAAGGCAGTGGGAGTAGTGCCTCAGGTATTGCAGTGAAAGGAGAAACCTACTTCTGGGAACATTCATTGGGTCGCTAGATCTTTTATTAGAGTAATTGGAATCCAGAGAGTCAGTATATGCTACTTCGAAAGCAGTAGGCCCTACAGGTGAAATCCTGTTACCAAAAAGACTGTCAAAAAGTAAATGGAAAGTCTGCGTGATGGAAAGATTTTTTTAAGTCTTAGAAAGGTCGCATAATATGGAGCAAAGACGCAGACTGGAGTCTGACAGAACTGGATTCTAACCCCAGCTCTAACCTTTATAAGTTCTGTGGCCTCGGGCCTCCGTTTCCTCATCTGTAAAATGATGGTACTGTTTCTCTTACAGAATTATTATGCATTAGACATAATATATGTAAACCACCAATTACAACGTCCATCATGTAATCATTCAGTAAATGAAAACTGTTGTCATCTTGAACAGATTTTGACATAGCGAATTTCTAAAACTTACAAAGTAGTTTGGCTGCCAAATGCAGCTGCGTGTACCTTGTTAACTACTGGTACCAAGCACAGTTCCTGACCCACAGTAAGCGTTTAACAAGTGTTTGCCGAATGACTGTAGGGGAAAAAATAAATTAAGAATAAGAGCTGAGAAGCCAAGAAGGAGATGACTTTGTAGGGTATGAGCTTTTCTTATGCTGAAAGCCAGTAGAGACGCCTGGAATGAGTTACAGCCTGGGATCAGATGCCCAGGAGAACTGTGAAAAGGGTCAGACAGGGATGTGTAGCTTGTAAAAGGTCGCCAAGTGATCTGACACGTTCCATTCTGAAACTCCCAAATGTTAGTGTGCACGAGTCACCTAGGGAGATTATTGAAATCCCAGCTCTCTTTCACACACCCTAGCCTGGTTAGGAGGGCAGTACAGGACCCAGAAACCTTCATTTTTGAAAATGCCACCTGAGTGATTCTGATACAAATGCTTCGTAGACTGTGTGTTGAGAAGCGCTGATCTAAATGGTCTATCAAGTGAAGTGAATTCTGGGCTTTGTCTACTGAGGGCTCAGTGTCTTCATCCACACAATTAGGTATAACTACATTCCTGCCATTCTCTTGTGAAAAATAAAACATTTTATTCAGTAAGGAAAAATATATATGGTCAATAAAGGAAAGAAAATGTGCTCATCTTCATCAGAGGTCTTAGCAATATCAATCAAATCAACAATGGGATACCGTTTTCCCCTTATCACATTGGGAAGGATTCAAAAATTCAGAACATCCAGCTTCGGCAGGGCCGTATGAAATGGCCAATTCGTGGGGTTTTTTGTTTGTTTTTTTTGCTTCATTTTGTTTTTGTTTTTGTTTTCTTTTGCTGTTGGAAGTAGACAGCTTTCCTGATGAGCAAATTGGTGATATGTTCAAGAGCTTGAAAAATGTTTATATTCTTTATTCTAATAGTTCTGCCTCTAGGAAGTTTTAGGAAGGAAATAAACAGAGATGTGAACAGATTTTTATATGCAAAGATGTTCATTACAGCAGTATTTATAATAGCAGAAGTTGGAAACAATATAAATATCCAACAAGTAAGTAGATAGTAAATTATTATTATAGTTATCAAATGTCATACAGCCATTCGTAAATACAACATTTGTAAAGAATATTGAATGTTTTGGAAAAATACTCCAGTACAAAGTTTGTTGAAAAAGAGGATATCAAAATGAAACATCTCAATTTTATAATATTAAATGAATACATGTTAATAGAGAAAAAAGATAAGAGAAACATTTTGGTTAATGGTAGTTATTGCTGGGTGGTAGGATTATGGATTATTCACTTAATTTTTATGTTATTTTTTTATATTTTGAAAGTTTCCAGTTAGTATTTGTTTACTTTTTTTCTGAATATAAGAGATTTAAAGCTAAGTATTTTTTCTTTATAGAACTTTAAGTTCATTGGGTTTAAGTACCATCTGAATAAAAGAAATTCTATATTAATAGTAGGTATGTAAATGGTTAATATATTATTTGAAATAATATCTGAAACTCTGGGACTGATTATGATGCTAAAGAAGTCTCAGTTAATTGAGTGTCCTGGTTAAGATGAACTGATGGAGTCATTTGATTTCATCTCACTAACTATTTCCTTCCAACCATTTGGAGACTAAAAGATGCTCGCTTTAAGAAAATTAGCTTTTGCGTGCCACGTCAGAATAAGTTGAAATATCAAATGAATGCTTACAGTGAACTTTCTCTAAAAAAAATCCACGGTACGTAAGTTTTTGTTTTCTCTGTTTTCAATGTAATTTAGAAGTTTCCAAGAAACATGTGAAGACATATTCAACCTCACTGGTAGTTAGTTAGGGAAATGCTAATTTAAACAGAAAGTACATCTTACCCCTAAAGTAGCCACAACTAAAACTTACTGATATCCAGGGCTGCCGAGGATGTGGAGGCCTGCACCCTCGTACCTCAGGGTTGGAATATGTACTTCTCAGAACATTTTCGTAGGACAGTTGGACAGTGCTATCGATGGATAAACACGATTACCTTTGAACTCATCAGTGCGCCTACAGGAATTCTTACAGAAATACATGGGCGCACAAAGCCATATACGCAATGCTATTTTATTCCGACATTCTTTGTAGTAGCAAAGATTTGGAAACCACATTAATGTCAGTCAGAGAAATGGAGAAATAAATGCTGATATGTCCTTGGTATCATACAACTGTGAAAAAGCCCGAGGGAGGTTTCTGTTACTGACATGTACGATCTCCAGGATATGACAACTCAAAAAAAAATTTGCAAAATAACATATACAGCATAGCCCCACTTGTATTGAAAACGAGTATACGTTTAGGCATGGAAGTGCCTCGAAACAAGTCAGGAAGGCCACACAACGAATCGTCCGCGGTGATTAACTCCGGGAAGGGAACCGGGGTTGCAGGGATGAGGGGCGGCGAAGGGGTTGTCACGCGTCGCTCCTCGGGCCACTGTGTCTTTGCTGTCGCTTTCGTTTTTGTAACGAACACGAGCACCCGTGTCCCTCCGCTGCAGGATGCCGTCCTGTTCCATAACACCATCTACTACAACCTCCTGTATGGAAACATCAGCGCCTCTCCTGAGCAGGTGTACGCCGTGGCGAAGTTGGCTGGGCTGCACGACGCGATTCTGCGAATGCCGCGTGGATACGACACCCAAGTCGGGGAGAGAGGGCTCAAGCTCTCAGGTAAGCAGAGGTTTGGGGTCCCCCCGCCCGCGTCTGTATGCTCCCTTCAAACTTGATCAGAGCCGTTTTCTAGAAAATGTGGTGACAAACTTCAAACCCGGTGTTCATCCACGGGCTTTAGACAAGGTCCCCAGTCCCCCAGTCATCACTGTAAACAACCTGACATAGTAGCAGTCACTGTTGTTGAGCCGTGGGCGTCTTTCGATTTTTCACGTACAGCTGCAGACGTGGCACGTGCTTGCCAGTGAGTTCCGGACCTGTGCTTCGATCGGCGTTCAGTCGTTCCCTGTATTCTTGACGTCATTAAAGGACAAGCAGGAGCGTTATTTAGCTGAGGGAGAACTAAGAAGTAATTCGATAGTAGATGGTGCATCTCGTCAGAATTCCCAAGTCATTATGGGATAGTTTCCATTCTTTAGACCTCCTTGTACTCGATGTACCTAACTGCTCTACTTTCTTCCTTTGTAACTTATTTTTCAACTACAGTCGACATAGATGACTGTATTAGTCCCAGATGTACAACATAGCGCTTGGACATGTGTACGACTTCCGAAGCGATCCCCCCACAAGTCTGGTCCCCGCCCGCCTGGCGCCACACGTTTAGCTGTCGATTCAATGGCCAAGTAAATTTGGGGGCTTGTATATTTCTATTCAGGTGTTTAGTTATGAGATCGATAGGCGCGATGACGAATTGTCCTCAAATGACGGACGTTTTAGGAGGCTCCATAAATAGGTTTCTTTGCCCGAAATTATTTGAATTCCAAAGCATAACGATATGTAATGCCTGAAAGTATGAATGCGACTCATACACATACTGCGCCCTTTACGTTCACCCTTCATTCTCCGTTACTTTAGGGGGAAACGCGTAGATGAGGGATGGGGCGCATGAATTCTAATGACTCCCCATTTCTCTTCATTACAAATCATCTTCATTTTTCTCACAGCCTTTATCATTAGGTGCATACCATGTGCATACTATGCTAAATGATTCGAGAATTAAAAAGAAGCATAAACCAACCTGCTCTCAAGGAATTTGTTGTCTATTAGCAAGTTTTGATCTAGGTTTAGAAAATGTTATGCAAAGACTGTTTTCAGGTCACGGTTCGCAGCAGAGCCTATGATTTTCAGAATGGTAAATGAGCGTTGGCTTCAACTTAAAGTCACCAGCCGCGCTGGCCCCTAACAAGAGAGTGAGCCAGTCCTTGAAGCTTTGAAGCCACGCGCTAACTTCTCCTCTCTAGTTATCAAAGTCCTAGGTGGCATCTTCTTCCAGTATAAGGAAGACCATTTCATGTGCATCGAAAGTCTGTGCTTTAGCCACCTCCGTTCATCGTAGCCAGATCTTCTGGATAACTTGTCGCAGCTGCTACGTCACTTGCTGCTTCGCCTTGTACTTTTATGTCACGGAGACGGCTGCTTTCCTTAAACCTCATGAAGCAGCCTCTGCCAGCTGCACACGTTCCTTCTGCAGCTTCCTCACCTCTCAGCCTTCACAGAGCCAGAGAGAGCCCGGGCCTGCTCTGGGGAGGCTTTGGCTTAAGGGAGTGTCGTGGCTGGTTCGATCTTTTCTGCAGGTGCTAAAACCTGTCCGTGGCAGCAATGAGGCTGTTTTCCTTTGTTATCATTTGTGCATTTCCTGGAGTAACACTCTGATTTCCTTCAAGAACTTTCCCTTTGCATTCACCACTTGGCTGGCTGTTTGGCACAGGAGGCCTCGCTCTCAGCCCGCCTCGGTCAGCTCAGTCGTTTGTAGCTTTCGATTTAAAGTGAGACACGGGTGCCCCTTCCTCTCGCTTGGACACTGACGAGGCCGTGCCGGGGTTCTTAATTCGCCTGATTTTAATATTGCGTCTCGGGGAACGGGGAGGCCAGAGACAGGGAGAGAGACGGGAACAGGTGCTCAGCGAAGCAGTCAGAGCACACGCACTCACGGATTAAGGTCCGTGTCTCGTGTGGGGCGGTTCGTGGAGCCCCGGCACGATGACAGTAGTCACGGCAAAGAGCACCGACCACGGGTCACTGGGACAAGTCCAGTAATGCTGGACAGCTTTGCGGTATTGAGAGCTACCGGCATGCGGCAGGGAGACCCTCGTGCCCCGAGCACGGGCTGTTGGCCGACGGCGCCGCGGGTGACGCGCGCGGCACGGCGTGGCTGCGGGTCTGCAGTCGGCAATGACGCACTGCGTGCGGTAAGGCGAAGCGCGACAAAGCGAGCTGTGGCCCCAGTGTGTCCCCGTCTCTCGGGGACTCTGGGAGCAGCGCGGCATCAGCTGTCACGCACTCGAAGGAGCCGCTGCAGTGTTTCCCAAAGGGCAGCAAAGCGAGGCCTCCAGCCGTCGTTCTGTGCACCACCGATGGCCACAGGCCCGCAGGCCTCCCTGTGGAGCAAGGTCGCTTTATCGTCACTGCAGTGCGTTCAGGGATCAGGGCGTCTTGCATCCTATGATAGCGAGAGCGCTGGACATGGCCACATAGCACATTGCGCTGTGACCTCGACCAAACCGCTTAGTGTTTCCTTTCCAGTTTAAGATTCTGCTATGCTCGTGACCCAATAGCGAATAACGAAGGTGAAATAAGGGGTATTATCTAGTACGTACCGTTAACTTTGAAGAATACTGTGAAAATAATCGCATTTTGTGAAAAAAATCCTTGAGAATCCTGGCCGAGTGGTAGTTTTTTATGTTGAGATCAGTTTAGATACTCAGAGTTTCATGCCTTCAGGTTCTCAGGCCTCAGATGTTGAATTTGTTGTCGGCTTTGTCGATCGTCTGGTACGGAAACGCTTCCGTCTCAGATCGCTGTTCATTGGGAAGTAACATAGAGCGCATGGAACGTGGCTAACGAGCCACTTCCGGCGACAGGAGTCATCGCGCAGTCAAAATCGCGACCTCCCCTCTCCATTCTGTCACCTGCCGTGAAGTCAGAATCCCGAATGCCATTTATGTTCCAAAGAATGCAGCTTGTCAAAAAAAGTCGTATGAACTTTGACTCCTGCGGCAGAGTAAAATGACGAGTGGTCGGGAGCACAGGGGACTGTGCAAACACTAGGAACATCAAATAGCTCTTTCTGCTCTGCTTTGCTTCCTTAAACTAAAGTTTTTCTTTCACCAGGAGGAGAAAAGCAAAGAGTAGCGATTGCAAGAGCCATTTTGAAGGACCCCCCAGTCATTCTGTATGATGAAGCCACTTCGTCGTTAGACTCAATTACCGAAGAGGTAAATGATGGCGAATGTACACACGTGTTTAATTCTCAATGTTTCATTTTTCTCCCCGGAAGTTTGTGTAAGTTAGGCCCTTTCTGTATTTTGAATGAACTTCATTAGGGCGTGCGATAGGGCAAAGCGCGTAGCCCGTCGCCGCCGCAGGGCGAGCGTCTGAGGAGGA